GCATAGTTGTGTATTTGCTGAAAACGCCACTTTTTCTTCTTCTTATGAAAGTCCTTCAGTGGCATCTTGCAGCCAACAGCAGCTCATATCGGTTTCGGCCAGCCTGGCAGCCCCCCGCATCACAGGAGGACTTAATACCCAGTCATAGTGCAATCCACATTAGCTAGCCCTTGTGCAAGAGGAAGCAGAACTGGCTGCATTGCAGCATTTGTGTGCAGTGAAACCCGGCCACAGTCAGGGCAGGAAGTAGCTGATGCGCTGGGAGACCGACTTGCACCCTTGGGCAGAGAAGAGCTTCTCCTCTTTGGGGACAAACACCATCATCCTCGCAACATCGTCCAGTGCCTCCTCAGTGAACAGTAGGTCCCGGGCCAGGAAGGCATCCCGAGCGCACAGTTTCACATGGCGGTACTCCAGGGGCAGGAAAGGTACCAAGAAGTCAATGAGGTTCTCTTCCAGAAGGCGGCTGTAGGCAGAATCCTCATCTGAAAACAGCACAAAGCACACATGATACAGACTATACCTGTCTACATTGCTACTCCTTGCCAAGGAATCCAAATCTGAGGTCCTAATGATATTTTTGCATGCTTCATTCCAAAGCCATGTTTCCAGAATGCTGTACAATCTGAGGTACAGAAGTAATCAGGCCCGTAGCTATGGTGGGGCTTTGGGGGCTCCGCCCCCGTTCTTAAAGGCACAGCCCCACAAGAATGTCTCCTGTAAATGCTTTTTTCAATCATCTTAAAACATTTTTAAAGATGTGTGCCAGTTTGGTGTAGTGGTTAAGTGTGCGGGCTCTAATCTGGGAGAACCGGGTTTGATTCCCCACTCCTCCACTTGCACCTGCTGATGTGACCTTGGGTCAGTCACAAGCTCTGGCACAGCTGTTCCTGAAAGAGCAGTTTGTGTCAGAGTTCTCTCAGCCCCACCCACCTCACAGGGTGTCTGTTGTGGGGAGGGGAAGGAAAAGGAGTTTGTAAGCCGCTCTGAGACTCCAAGTGAAGGGCGGGGTATAAATCCAATCTCTTCTTCTTTAAGCAGAGTTGACTAATTCCCGCCCTGAGCAAGGGGATTGGAGTAGGTGACCTCTAGGATCCCTTCTAACTCTGTGTCAAGAAACTTGTCTCCTTTAAGAGAGTTTTTCTGCCTAAGTGTTAGCTTTCTTGACTATAGAAGTTATCACCGCACCTGCTGGCTTGTTACTAGAATTGTTGCTTAGGCTGCAGAAGGGATTAACTTGCAGCAGCTGAGAACTGTCATCTAAAGTGGTTGACAGCTTGCAGTTCAGAGATCTATCCTGGTAGCAGCTTTCTAAAGGGCTTTTCTTTCTGCACTGAGAACTTCAGCCCCACCAGAAAAAAAAATTGCCCCACAAGTTGCAAAATCCTGCCTACAGGCCTGGAAGTAGTGGAATGGCATGAGGACAGGTAATAAGAATGTAAAATGCTACAGAGCTGTATGTGAAGTGGAGCACGTGAGCAAAATATGCCCCCGAGGTGGCACAGTTTGTGCCCAAGCAAGATTCTAGTCCTTATTATTCTAAACGTGCAGTGTCTGCAGGACTCTCGCATTATTCAACAAATTAGTTGAATCTGACTCCAGCCACTAATTTGAAGCATGAGCATAAGATCCCTGCTGTTAGTTCAACAGACTGGGCCCCCAGTGGGGGGACCCAAAGAGGCATACATCATTCTTCCCTGCTCTATTGTATCCTCATTACAACCACCCTGTGAGATAGAGCAGACTGCGACTGTCACAAGGTCACCCAGTGAGCTTCCATGGCAGAGTACTGGGGATCTGAACCGGGGTGTCTCAGCTCCTAGTCTAATACTCTAACCATTACAGCACACTGGGTATTCTGTATCTCACTGTTCCCACCCAGTCATATGCAAGAATAGATTGTAAGCTCCTTGGGGCAGAGATCTATCGTCTTGTATTCTCTAAAGTACCCTGTACAGTGGGCTCTCGTGGAAGTCTATGGTGTTGCACCTTTTACTTCCCAGGGACTTGAGTCAAAAGCTTCAGAAAAGATGGTTGGTGGGGCGTTTGGTTGCAGTTGCTTTCCTAGCTGGGTCGGAAAGTGGTTGGTTTTCACAGCACTACCAATCTATGCACTGCATTCCAGAGTCCCATCAGCAAAAGACACAGATTCCCTCATCCCAAAGGGCTTACAGTCTGCATTTTGACAGTACGAAAAACTGGGGAGGGGAGTGGGAAGGAACAGGATGGGTAGAGCCTACGGTACTAAGGTACTGTGGACTGTGGTAGCAAGTGCCTGCTGCCCTCTGTACTTAAAAGAGGCACAGTTCATACAGCAACAGAGTCATGTTTGCCTGATAGGGAATCACAGCCAGTCCTGGCCCGCTGTCAACCGTAACGCCTATGCACAAGAAAATCATGTGTGAAGCAGGGTGTGGTTTAAGGCAAGTGCTTCACATGGGTGGCTTGAGCCTAATCCACAATGCTGTGTGAAAATGTGCCACTTCCCCCCCCCCGGCAAAGTGAGACGTGGCCTTCTGCCCCCCCCCCAAGCCAGAGCTGCAATAGTGCACGAGGAACACCTGTGGAGTACCTCATCTGTGGAGTCACAGTCACCACCTTTCTTCTTCCACCCTGCTGTGTTCCAAGACAATATTATTAAGGCTGAGGCTCTGTTGTTTTCTGTTAACCAAACTATCTCAGCCCCGGTCACACGGAGCATTAGGCACGCTAGAGAGACGGAAGATAGGCGGATTTTCCGGGCGCGATCTCACCGCCACATCTGGGAAGCGTAGAGCTCCCGTGGCTCACCCGAGGCTTCACTCCGAAGATGCGCTGTAAAAAACTAGTACCTCCGAGGTACTAGTTTCCAGAAACCGCGGGGCAAGGGCAGGCGTCAGATCACGTTTCCGGTGTTAGCTCGTGGCATCCGGCGCCCGCCCATGTCCCATCACAAAAACTTTTTGTCAAGTCTCCACGGGTGTGCACAAGCACCCAACGGCACATGCGAACACTTGGGTTTAAAAAAAACAATACAACCCCGCGGCGGCGCTTCTATGCCGCGCTGCAAAGGTATGAGGTATGATCGGCACCTCCCCCCAACCGCGGGACGTTTGATCCGGCTGCCGCGCGGTAGTTCGCTCCGGGGCAAACAGCCACGCCTCCCCCCCGTGTGACCGGGGCCTCAGTTAATTTATCCAGTATCCCATCCTGGTCCAGGAAAATACTGCCATTATTATTATACAACTGGTGCCCGTATGGTTCAAGATGCCTTCAGATGAAGACATGCTTTCAGTTGGTCCGTTCGTTGTCGTTTTAAAATTGGCTCTTAAACTGGCACGGGACAGTCTACTCTCTCTCTTTTTCTCCTCTGTCTCACTTATCAGCTTTTAAATATATATTTTTCCTTCGTCACCTGCGGAATCCAGCAGCTCCGTCCTCAGGTAGTGTTCTAAATACTCCATGGTGATTTCCTCTCGGTCTCGACCAGCCCGCCAGAAGTCTAAGGCCACTTCATTGATGATGTTGCCTCCAGTGTTACTGAAAAGAAGAGGTGAGAAGAGCAAAATTTATTTCTTATTCATTTCGGGGGGGGGGAGAGTAATTGTGCTGCCTCCCCAGGGAAGCTGCCTGCTTTCTTTGGACCTTAGAAAAAACAAACCGACAAAAAACTACATCAAATAAAAATAAAACGGCGAGGCGGGGAATGGGGCACCCTAACAAGCAGCCTCTCTCGGCTTCATTACCAAGCAATAGAAGCAGACCAAATGCTCAGGCTGAGCACCTGAGGAAGGACTTTGTCATGACTTCCCTTGACCTGCCAACCTAAAGGCAGAACAGAGAAGAAGATAAGGAAGCCAGTGGTTGTGGCAATATAGCCCATCCTCCAGCTCATGATGATGTGTTCCCCATGATATGAACAATTTATCATCACCCCCGGCCCACAATGCTTTCTGCCATCCATCCTAGATGCATGCAGGAGGCATGTCCTGCTCCAGGATTTTAGTCAGGTGCCCGACCACCCTAGAAAGCAAGAGAAGGGCAGCAGCAAAGAGCCAGCCTGCAAAAGACAATGAAGCCTGCAGTTCTAACACAGCAACTTTGTAAAGCAGGAGTGGGCTGAGAGCTTCCCAAAGGCCCCTTTAGTGATCTGCTCCTCGCATCCCCTTTGAACATGCCACATCCCCAGTCTGATTGGAACGAATCATGAAAAGGGCACAGGAAAAAGAGCTGCTGCCAGTGTGGAAGAATCATAGAGTTGAAAGGTACCTCCAGGGTCATCTAGTCTGACCCCTGGCACAATGCAGGAGATTCACAATACCTCCCCCCCCCAGTGACCCCTGCTGTATGCCCAGAAGAGGGCAACCCCCCCCCCAAACACCCTCTCCAGGATCTCTGGTCAAACTGGTCTGGAGAAAAATGGCTTCCTGGCCCCAAAGTGGCAACCAGCATTTCCCTGGGTGTGTAAGAAAGGGCCACAAGAACTAAGCACTGATGCAACCCTTTCTGAACAGGGGAGGAGGATGAGGAGGAGACTGGATTTATACCCCGCCCTTCATTACCCAAAGGTGTCTCAGAGCGACTTACAAACTCCTTTCCCTTTCCCTCCCCACAACAGACACCCTGTGAGGTAGGTGGGGCTGAGAGAGCTCTGACAGAAACTGCTCTTTATCAAGGAGTGGGGAATCAAACCCGGTTCTCCCAGATTAGAGTCCGCGCACTTAACCACTACACCAAACAAGGCTTCCACTGACCAGGGGGTCAATCCTGCTCTGCACTCTGTAGAAGGTGTGCATCACAGTTTTGTACATATCAGAATGTTCAGCTGCATGTCTGCAGGATATGGCTTGGGCTGTGGGTGAGACTTGGCCCTACTCCAACCCATCGGAAAGTCAGCAAAAGGGCAAGAGAATTGGCAGGGATCCCAGCAGTACCAAAGGGTGAGGTGCTGGTGGGGGGGCAGGCTGGGTGATCTGACCAAGTCAAACGGGAAAACTGGATGAGGACAGTTTGTGCAGAACGTGGAATCCAACACACAGCTACAGAAATCTCAAAGTCTTCACATACCTCCGAAAACAAAACGGAAGTAAGAGAATCCAGAAGAACAAAAATGCTTATAAAACAAAATTGGTTCACAATTCCCTAATACAATTGCTCCATCTATTATAAAAATAACTTGGATATATTCTGAGTTTGATCCCATGGATCTGTTCCACTAACAGTGATGCCCTCCCCTGTAAAGAGCATCTTCACCGGAGGAATGAGGCTCTTGTGAGAGAGAGTCGCCTCATGTCAGGAAAAGTCTCCGCCGGTATTCGCTGAATGGATCCACAGGATCCAACCCACTAAATATTCAGATTTTCACAGTTTACATGAGCTTGGATCTTACAGTTGAATCTCTGCTGATGATTTCCATTAGTGGCATGCAGGGCTCTTTTTGTAGAAAAAGCCCAGCAGGAACTCATTAGCATAATAGGCCACACCCAACAGTAGGAACTTATTAGCATATTGGGCCACACCCCTGACAGCACAGATCATTAGCATATGAGGCCACACCCCATGTTGCCAGAAGTGTGGTCATCCAGCCACACCCACCTTTTGCTTGTTATTCTGTTTACCTTGTTTGTTGTCAAAACCCAGGGCTTCTTTTGTAGCAGGAACTCCTTTGCATGTTAGGCCACACACCCCTAATGTAGCCAGTCCTAATGAGTTTCTGCTGTTGGGTGTGGCCTATTATGCTAATGAGTTCCTGCTGGGCGTGGCTAACTTGGGAGCCAGCCAGAACTCAGTTCCTGTGCGTTCCTGCCCCAAAATAGCCCTGGTGGCATGGCTCTTTCCTTGGCCACCCTCCCACTTCAGCCCAAAGTGATCCCCAAAATGCTGCCTTGGGGGGACCTCCAGGAACAGCATGAATGAGTAGCTGGAAGCCTGTGACAGGAGGGGAAAGCTGCCAGCCCCTCCCCCAATTAGCAGAAATTTGCCACATGATCTGACCCAGGCTTCCCCAACTTGTTGCCTATGGGCGGCATGGGACCTGCCAGAACCTCCCCTGTTGCTTGCTAGGCTTTTTAGAAAGTGAATGGTCCCATCAAAAGGAAGGGCTTGATATTAGCTGCCTTCATTCCGATTAAAGGGGTTTTTTTTGGTGGCTGTAGCCGTCGCGGTCCCTGGTGGATCAGGGGAACTAGCAAGCACTAGGGCTTTCCTTAGTGCATGGTTCCATTCCCCATTCCCCACTCAGCCTTTCCTCCTGATTACCCTTTCTCTTTCTCCTTCCTCTCCATGCATTCAGCAAGACTGCCAAGCAATTATCTTGCAAAGCAAGGAGAGCGGTATTGCATTTGGTTCTAGCAGCCATTTTGGATTAGGCTCCGCCTCCTGCAACACCCATTTTGGGGTGCCCTATCAACATTTCAAAGATGCCCGCAGGCTCCAAAAAGGTTGGGGACCCCTAATCTAACACGTGAAGTCAATGTCCTCTTAAAATGCCACTGTAGTTGTATACCTTCTTTTACAACGATATTATTAACTATTAACAAAAATTTACCTCAGGAACAAAAAGATGGACCGGCGGTAATCCACTGTATCAATGCTGTCATAGTGATCCAGGTAGGGTTTGATGGCATCTAGGAGGTCGACATGAAGTTTTTCTACCTCATCGAAGATGAAGAGTGACTGCTGACATAACTGCACCGTCTCGCTAATCTGCTTTGCTAGCTGGACCTGAGCAGAGAGGTGGAACTGGTGTGAGTCACAAAGCAGGAAAAGATATATGAAGCAGAAGCACCAGGTAGCAAGACAGAATCTATGTATTTAATTGTGAACATCGCCCCAGAATGCAGATCAAAAAATCTGCACATCCAGCCAGGTACAGAAAGAGGAATTTCTGCAAATCTGGGATGCCCAGGTTTGTACAAAAAACCTGAAACATTTTTTTTTAAATTATGCGGAGGAATTTTCAAAAATCCGAAAACAGAGAAATGATGTGCAACTCAAACAGAAAATGCTGAATGAGATCTCACAAGTGCTGTCATATCTCACAAGTGCTGTGAGATCTTGGCAACAATCTGGCCAAAGTTGGCTTCGAGTAAAAACTATGTATACTGCACTTTCTTCTCCAAAGCCCCGCCCCCCAAAACTGGCCACCGGAAAGGGAGGAAGCGTGGAGAGGAAAGTTTGTCCAGCATGCTTTCTGCTCCCAGCTGAACTCCGCCCCACCACCATCCAGCCACTTTATATCAGGAGGAGAAGGGAGAAAGGGATGCCCCTTCTCCCATGAGTGGAATTGAAGGTGCTTATGTTGTCTTAGATGCAGGAAGGCCAGGATTCTACTATTGTAAAGGTAAAGGTTCCCTTGCTCAAAAGCCAGTCGAATCCGACTCTAGGGTTGCGGTGCTCATCTCCGTTTCAAAGCCGAAGAGCCAGCGCTGTCCGAAGACGTTTCTGTGGTCATGTGGCCGGCATGACTAAACACCAAGGCGCACAGAATGCTGTTACCTTCCCACCGAAGTGGTACCTATTTATCTACTTGCAATTTCTTGCTTTCGAACTGCTAGGTTGGCAGGAGCTGGAACTAGAGACGGGAGCTCACTCCGTCTTGCGGCACACTCGGGTCTCGAACTGCTGAACTACTGACCTTTCACAGCCTGCAGTTCAGCGTCTTAACCACTTGAGCCACCGCAGCTCTACTATTGTACCATGATACAATTGCAAAATGTTAAGAGGTTTCTCACTCAGCATTGGTCCTCCTCTGTTGCTACCCTGAGTTGAGAGAGGACACGCAACAAAGAAAAAGGCACCACTGTTAGAAGTTCATTCCCTAAAATCAGAGCTGCGTGAATGATGCGGAAACAAGGAAAAGAATTAATAGCCATAAAACAGCCTCCCCCGAGCTTCCTAAAAATCTAAATTTAAAAAGCAAGTTTCTAACCCTCCTGTACAAGAAGGTATGTTTAGGGTTGTCTCGGATGTCAGACAAAGTACTAAATACGATTTTCTGTAAAGTTCCCCAGCCCTTTTGTGTCTGTGGGCAAATTTGGAATTCTGACACAGGGAGGTAGGCACAACCACAAAGTGACTGCCAAACACAGAGGAAGCTCAAATGCAAGAAGAGGGGTAATTTAAAAAATACACCAGGAAAGAGGCATGAGAAAGAGCAAACAAAATACTAGACTTGTAGCTGCCACCAAAACAACATTCTTTTATCTGCACAGCCCATTAGATCTTCAGTGGCCAATCAGAAGCTATATTGGGCAAGATAAGAACATAAGAGAAGCCAAGGTTGGATCAGGCCAATGGCCCATCCAATCCAACTCTCTGTCACACAGTGGCCAAAAATACCAGGTGCCATCAGGAGGTCCACCAGGGTTGTCTCAGGTGTCAGAAGAAGTACTAAATACGATTTTCTGTAAAGATCCCCAGGCTTTTTGTGTCTGTGGGCAAATTTGGAATTCTGACACAGGGAGGTGGGCACAATCACAAAATGACTGCCAAACACAGAGGAAGCTCAAATGCAAGAAGAGGGGTAATTAAAAAAATACACCAGGAAAGAGGAATGAGAAAGAGCAAACAAAATACTGGACTTGTAGCTGCCACCAAAACAACATTATTTTATCTGCACAGCCCATTAGATCTTCAGTGGCCAATCAGAAGCTATATTGGGCAAGATAAGAACATATGGGAAGCCAATTTTTGATCAGGCCAATGGCCCATCCAGTCCAACACTCCATCACACAGTGGGCAAAAATACCAGGTGCCGTCAGGAGGTCCACCAGTGGGGCCAGGACACTAGAAACCCTCCCACTGTTGCCCCCCTCCCCCAAGCACCAAGAATACAGAGCATCACTTGCCCCAGACTGAGAGCTCCTATCTATATACCTTGTGGCTAATAGCTCCTGATGGACCTCTGCTCCATATAAGAACATAAGGGAAGCCAATGTTGGATCAGGCCAATGGCCCATCCAGTCCAACACTCCATCACACTGTGGGCAAAAATACCAGGTGCCATCAGGAGGTCCACCAGTGGGGCCAGGACACTAGAAACCTTCCCACTGTTGCCCCCCCTCCCCCAAGCACCAAGAATACAGAGCATCACTTGCCCCAGACTGAGAGCTCCTATCTATACCTTGTGGCTAATAGCCACTGAATGGACTTCTGCCATCAGATGGCCACCTGGCCTCACCCATAATCTAAAAACACCTGGTGGGCACCAGGAAAGGTGTCGGGGAGCACCTGGACTCCCACAGGCACCATGCAGAGGGTCCCCTGCTGTAGAGTGTCACTGTTTCTCCTTATTTCTATTCAAGTATTGAAACCCAGCTTTTCTCCCCAAGGAGAACCCAAAGCAGCTTACAAAAATAAATCCACTTAAACTAGTAAGCAGACAAACCAAAATTATATCTTGAGTTGGTCCTGGACTGCTGGGCTGGCATGTCCAAAGGCACATGCTGCAAACAATGACCAAAAGCTGAACGTCTGGTCTCTCCAAGTGACTGAGAAGCAGAATGACTTGAGCAAAATCATAAATACGGGGTGCATTTGAAACTTGCGTTAAGTCCTACAAGTCGCTGAATCCAGCTTCTCTCATTGCAGAATACAGGTTGCATTTGTGCAGAACTTTCTGTCTCTGTGTGTAGAACACACAATATACAGTCCTATCCAATGTTCCCTCTAAACTGAGTTAGTGTGAGCTAGCTCACAGTTTTTTATCCTGCAGCTCACACATTTTCGTCTTAGCTCAGGAAGGAGGGCTCCAGAGCAAACTAATTTATGCAGTAGCCAAATCGCTCGATCACAACTTTAATGCCAGCAGCTCACAAAGTAGAATTTTTGCTCATAAGATTCCACAGCTTAGAAGGAGCATTGGTCCTAATACGTTACTGTAGTTTACTCGGCGTATGTAAAAGGGATCTGTGCCCAACTGTAATAGATGTGCCAGCCCTTGATGGGATTTGACCTCTGAGAGTCTCTACTCCCCCCCTTGGCCCTGATCCAATTAAAGCTAGCCAAACTGAGCTGACAGCAATGGAATAAGTTATCTGTAACTAACTTGCACCGTTGGTTCTGATGGGTCTTAGTCACAATCAGCTTTAGATATAGTCTCATGGCTGTGGGAGAAATTACTTTATGGGAGCTATCTTAAGCAGCCTTACCCAGAAGTAAATCCCATTTTATTCAATGGGCTTACTCCCGTGGAACTGTTCTTAGGGATGCCGCCCTGTGCTAGCCAGGACAGCATCATGTGGGGGAAGGAGGGGGACGGGCTATTCTACTCGCCTTCCGGAGAGTATCTTTACCTGCAATGTCGTTGGTCACCCTGCAGTCTCCCGTCGCGCAACACTTGCCAAAGGAGCAGTACCAGCTGGTTAGGATCTCACGCATGACAGGCATCTGCCACCCTAGAAGAAAGGTAGCCAGATATTGAAAAAGAAAAAACTCAAGCCATCCTTTCACTCATGGGTATGTTCCCCTCTTCTACACCCCCAAAAATCTTACAAAAATTGCTAATGGCAGCTAAATCTGTTATAACCAGGAACTGGAAGAGTACCAATTCAATAACTTTACATCAATGGTATATGCAGATATGGGAATTTTACACAATGGAGAAAATAGCTATTTCTTCACTCCCATCTACCACTTATAAAGCTCAATCCTTGTTTTATGCTAAAGGGTTACCATTTATAGAGGCAACCTTTGCTCACACCATTGTACCTGCAAACACTATTCCAAAGATATCTGGAAATTATTTCTACATTGTGATGTAATTACAGGTGTAAAGGGATATATACTAATAATTGTTTCATTACTTTAGAGCTCTTACTGATCATTAGATTCCTCTTTACCACCAACGGTTTCTTCATTTGTATAAGCAAACCGTTTTGATTCAATTAACATTCTGTATGTTATTATCTTTACTTGGTGTTCTGGTTTTGTTAAAAATTTAAAAGTTATAAATAAAGTTATTTTAAAAATGGTATTATTTCAGATTCAGGACGGGTCATTTTGATTCAATGAACATTCTGTATGTTACTATCTTTACTTGGTGTTCTGGTTTTGTTAGCATTTAAAAGTTAAAATAAAAAAAATTGGTATTATTTCAGATTCAGGACGGACACACACACAAAAAGATTCAGAACAAAAGGACTATTTCTTTAGCCAATGAGTGATTAAAATGTGGAATTAATGGCCAGTGGATGTACTGATGGTCGTGAGCATAGAAAGTTTTAAAGGGGGATTCAGACAGATTCATGGAGGATGGGTCCTTCGGTGGCTACTAGCCATGGTGAGTTCAAGGAACTCCCATATTCAGAGACACTGGACCTCTGAATCCCAGAACCAGGAGGCAACATCAGGTGAAGGCCTCAGCCTCTGTGCCCTGCTGTTGGCCCCCAGAGTAACTAGTTGGCCCCTGTGTGAGCTGGATAGACCACTGCTCTACTTCAGTATTTGTTTTAAATAGTTATATACCTGCCTTTTCCCCAGGCATCCCAGGATCCATGTGAAGGAGCACCGAAAGATAATATTCTCCACCAGCAGCCTGATGTAGTGGGATCTCGTGTACCCCTTCAGGAGTCCATCACTTCATACTTCCACACAGATTCACAGTGCCATTGTAAGCAGGGTTGCTCTCTTCTCAACCCACTGACTTCAATGGACTTGTAGGATGGCACTGCAAATCTGAAGGTGAAGCTGGCTCATAGGTGGCAGGGGAAGAAGAGTTGGATTTATATCCCGCCCTTCACTCAGAGTCTCAGAGCAGCTTACAATCTCCTTCCCTTCCTCTCCCCACAACAGGCACCCTGTGAGGTAGGTGGGGCTGAGAGGGCTCTGAGAGAACTGCTCTTGAGAGACCTGCTCTGAGAGAACTGTGACTGACCCAAGGTCACCCAGCTGGCTGCATGTGGAAGAGTGGGGAATCAGACCTGGTTCTCGAGATTAGAGTTCGCCACTCTTAACCACTACACCAAACGGGCTCTCCTACACCAGACTGGCTGAGGTTAGGATAGGTCTGAGCTCTCTTCTCAGTCTCCTTCTCATCGGAAACAGCAGTTAAAGCAACTTCCAAACCATCAATTGCACCCTTAACAGTAACTAAACCAGTCTCATGGAAGCGTCATTATCAAGCCCTATAATAAAATAACTAAGATCGGTTGCACTGATAACTAAGCCATATACTAAAATAAGTAAGATCAGAGGCCCTGCTAAAGGTTAGAGTTTGTTTCAATTTGCCCCCTAAATTTCTCTGTGGTTGCAGTTTGGAACACCTTGGTCCATTTTTGCAGACCTGTTCTCAAAGGCCAACTTACTTGATTTGTTGTCTCCTTTCTGATAAAATGCCCAACGTAGTGTATAAAAAGTATGCCGAAAGTACAGTACAAACCAAAACATACTACACAGTAAGAAGCCAACACTGTAAAACAGCTCTAAATACCTGTGTGTGTATCTCCCCCCCCAAAAAAAGCCATGCCTCTGTTGAAGTGTGCAATGCCTCAGGAAAGCTGCTTGCTGGAATAAGTGTTGTTTCTGCCACTGGCCTCCTGTTTTATTCAGCTGCAATGGACCAAACCCTCCTGACCAAAGCAAGGGAGGCACACAATCCGCACAGCCTCAAGCTAGAGATCTACACCTACAGGAGAACAGAGCTCTGAGGTGCAGGGATGGACTGTACCTCTTCAGATTACATGTAAAGACCACATGTTTTCTACTAAAGTTTCCCCTACATTAATAATCTCTCGGTGGGAAAACCTACAGGGCATGCAAAGGCTGGAAACCTGCTTGCTCTGGAGGGCTAGATTTTGGTTTGCAAACAATAGTTGCATCAAAAAGTGTCTCTCCCCACGCACTGATGGAAGTGGTACAGGTCCGTTCCACCACTTGAGAATTATAGCGGCTCATTCTGCGGCAGGTGTAGACCAGAGACCTTCCTAATGGTTCACACTAAAGGGGGGGGGGGAGATGTTGGCAGGCTCTCGTGTTCCTCAGTAAATGCCACAAAATGCTATAAGCAAAACAACAGCTGGGATCACGGCAGATATCAATACAAGAGAGAGTGGTGAAAACCGTGAACAAATAAATATCATAAATAATGAACTTTAAAATAAAGGGTACATAAATTGAAATACAGTGTATATTAAAGTCCGTTATTGAAGATATTTTTTGTTCATGCTTTTTTCCGCTCTCTAGAGTACAAAACGCTATAAAGCAGCCTGGAATTCTCCCCCTTCCTTCCTGACAGCGGTTTACCTGTAGGACTCCAAAAGCATAACGTGTGAATATGCAGTCTCGTGAAAAGAAGAGGCAAAGAAAAACCCCATCTGCTCTTCTTACCTTGCGTTCCCGCGACTGTCTTGCCCTCGCCTTCCTCCTCCGTTATCACCACCACTCCCTCCTCCTCCTTTCCTTCG